CTCCCATGTTTTCATTCAGGTTCGCGGCTTTCGCGTAGACGTTTCTTGTAAACAAACCGAATTTGAGAAACAGCTGTTGCCCTTTTTAGCACCTTGTTAAAGTTCGTGGTTGTTCGTAATCGACACCATCGTTGAGTTTGGTATGTACGGCATTATTTGTGTAACTTTTAGTATTGGTAACTGTGCTTTTACGCGGAATTAAGTTGATGAAGTATCACTTTTTTTCCTGTAGATTTGAGCTGCACATAATTTAAAATTATGTTTAGAAAAATATTTAAATATTCTAAACATATTATTTTTATTGATATGAAAAAAGTGTACAGAATATTTTAATAAAAAATCTGGAATGCGAGTATATTAAGCAAAAACAAGTAGTTAACGTGCAGAAAACATCAGATTGATAATTAATATTACTATCATAAAACCCTATTTTAATGTTTCCCAATTAATGTTTTATAATTTCGGTTTGTTTCGAACATCGGTTTGTGTAATTCTTGCCATAAGATTTATTGAAAAAGTAAGTATTTGAAACTAGTAACTCCTAACTTTAATATTTGGAATACAAACTGAAAAAAAACTAAACTGAGATATGTAAAACCTATAACCATAATTATGGAAATCAGAAGTGGAATAATACTTAAGATACATAAATAATGGAACTATAGTGCGTATAATTCTAATCAGCAACTAATCGCAAATATCTAATCAGCACTAGTTTCACATTTGTTTATTATGGTACTTGATGAATTAATTTTTTCTTTTCTTATTATTAGTAAAAAAATGCAGTTCAATTTGGGGTTAAAAATCACTTAAGTCTATTAAATTTTATGAAACCAGGCGGATATATTTAAACTTATTTCATAGTTATGTATTTTTTTTTTGGTAAAAATATTGTAATATTTTTCATTATTATGTAAGAAAGTCTTTTGCATTATAAAATAAAGTATTAAAAATATTGTACTAAACAACATACAATTGGACATCGAAGTCACAAGACGAAACATACATCTTTTTTTTAATGGAACACTTAGTATATTTTTCATTTTTCTGCAAGAACTTTTCCTCCTGATTGAAATGAAATAATATGACAGATTACTGGGGTGGAGGGCACAAAGCAGACACATTTAAATCTTTTTTAAAAAGCCGACATTACGCCGTTTTATTAACTTTTTTTTCAAGTCTATTTAAATAAAATAAAAAAATTAACACGTCGTTTGGTAGCATATGTGTACAAATAATTATTCGACGAACTCACTCGTAATCCGAGTAAATACAAATTTTTTATACTTGTGATTTTTGCAAAATTCTTATTTTACGTAAAGATACAACTATTTTAAAATCTCACAGGCGAAATCTTGGGATGAAATAATAACTCAAATTACCATAACTTTTACAGATCTCAAAATGTCATGAAAATCACAAGTATAAAAAAAAATTTATTTACTCGGCGATTATGAAAAAAAAAAATATTTTGCAAGTCGTTACCAAGATCTGTCCACGGAGGCAACCATTTTTGGAAAAAAAATTCGCAAGTTTTCCCTGAAGATATTTTGCTGATTATAGCCTTCTACTTAGGTGTAGTATCCATCCCCTAAATTATGGTGTGGGTCCCATGCCTCGAAACTACGAGCATGTCAAATTCCACCGGCCGCCACTGCTTTGTACTGTCCTCCCTTGTCCTCTATCCCATTAACTATATGTCATAACATAAATCAATGATTTTAACATTACTAATTAAAATGAAATAATATTAATCTTAGAACGACGGACCTTACACAAAAAAAGTTTAACTCAGCATGTTTTATAGTTCAATGTGTAATGTTAGAGAAAAACCATTCAGTAACATATGTACACACTTATCGTAACACAAACTGGTTCATAATTAATTTAATAAAAATAAATAAATGACTTCGTTTAGTGCAAATAAAACTATTCTGATTTATTTTCATTTCGTTTTTTTTTTCAAATCAAATACTGTAGGAATGGGCAGGTTTCTTAAATTCATTACTTCCCATAAAATTGGGCCAAATTTGAGCATTTTTTTACAGTTTAGCTAATGCTGCTCATGACTGTTGCTACTGGCGATATACGTTTTTTAATATTATAAATAAAACCATTCAAGAACCAAGTCTAATCACAATCATCTTAATGGGTTAGCAATGCTGGCTGGCCATTGAACATGAATGAATAGAGATTCGATTTGAAATAAGTTATTGACGATTTTTCAAAATTGCAGACTTTGTACGTGCATGTAACGGGGTCGTCATAATGACCGTTAACAGACGATATCACCTTTAATTGAAGATACGAAAGTGAATAACAAAATCTGCAAATGACACGGAAAACTACGTCTAACTACTCTTCTAAATCCGTGTTTCGTCATTGAACCCTCTAAAAACAATTTTTTGGAGCTGAATCTATTGGTGATATTAAAAAGTGGTCCTTAATTAGAGGGGGCACATTAGTCAGCCTATTTAAGGAGTAAAGTTTAACTTTGACAATATGAAAATTTGTTATGACGATTCGGATTTCCTATTGTTCTACTTCAAAAACCTATAAGCATAGAAAACGATACGTCACATGAATATCTTCCTTTGTTCACGTTAAAATACAACCCCCTTACCTTCTCCCCTTCCATAACACAACAAATAATATCATCAGCGAAATGAAAATAAATTCGCCATATATATCAATGTCCAATTAGGGGGGGGTTTGGGGGTACGATTTGAGTAGAGCTCTGCCCATAAGTAATTATTACTATTAATAAATAATAATATATAAAAATTTATATATGTCAAAAAAATATTTGACTTATTTTAAATACTTACCTAACCACTTCAACCACATACCCACATTCGTAGACTCTGTTGCGTTGTCCATGTATATCTAATTTGAAGTGCATATCTTGCTTTGTTTGAAAATTACCAATATTCAAAGAAAGGTATCTTACTGTTATTTAACCCCCAACCGCCCAACCGATAAAGGGGCGAAAACCCTTTGGACGCCCGAAAATGAGTCTTTATTTATGATTTTTTTATAAAGGTGATAAAATAATCACACCATTTTAAACTTTTAACATCAATTTATTACAACTTTGAAGTTTATAAAAACATTTTTCTGTTTTTTCTTTCTTTTTTTTTAACAAAATGACGGCTTTACAGGGTATTCCTTCAGGCGTCTTTGGCGGGACATCGAAAAGTGCTGCATTTGTCATAATTTTTCTATTGATCGGAAATCAAAGAATTTTTTCTTTCAGTTATTGACATGTGCAGGGAAATGATAAACTTATAAAATTATAAAAAAGTATAAAACCAGATATTAAGTAGGCTGTTCAATTAAATGTTCAAAATTTCGACTATTTTTTCGACAATTTTTATCTCAAAAAAGCAATGTAATTACGCGATATATTTAAAACTTTAGATACATCCTTCCGATAATAATATAGATAAAAATCTCCCAAAATTTCAGCCAAACGATCAATAACTTTTTGAGTTACAGCACGAGCAGTTTTTGAAAATACATTCAGAAATATCGGGTTTAAAGTTACAATACATTAAAACTTTTAGTTTTAGTGGCTTACCGATCAATCAGGATTCCAGGTGCAAAATAAACCTTCAGCCTTTCGAAGAGCTGGTTTTAGGAAGCTGGTAGAAGGAGTTTCTTCACCCCAAGCGCCCGGCTACCTACGCTAGTTTAGTATGTGGTAAGAGGTAGAGCCCCGGCGCTCTCGAATATATGCGATATTCGAGAGCGCCGCGAATATATGCGATATTCAGATTTTTCCTCTTTTCAGTATCCTCTCAATATATTATACTTTCGAAATAAGAACAAAATAACGAAAAATCGATTTTTTGAAAATTGTGAAGGGTTTTCCCCCTTAAATTCAAAATCTAATTAGGTCGAGATCTCGTTATGGTAGAAAGTTGAAGATGATATTTTAAAGCTTTCACGAGCTATCGTGGACACAAAAAAGGTTAACAGACATATATATCAACAGACAGAAAATTATGTTTCGCTTAAACTTAAAATCTCGACGTTTCAGAACAGTTTAAGCCTATTTATCCAAAATTAAAAAAAAAAACAAAAATTTTTTTTTCATGAATACTATACTTCCACTCCACTACGTAGATGTGCAAGTAATATAAGCACCTTAAGACATCTGATCTAATGTTATTTTTTTAGCGCAATTTACAAGATTGCTTTTAGAAATCACATGTTTACATAGTTATATTTATACTGATAAAATTATTATCTACTCGTTGATCAGATATTGCATTTGATCGTATGCTTTATCATTATCATCATATCAATTTTATGAGATTTGCAAAGTTGTATCTTTATTTGTAAATTAAACTTCAATAAGCTGGTCTGTGGTTTAGAATTTATATACATATGTATATGCATGCTTTATTAGAAACACTGAGAATACCCTTCAATGTGAAACATATTTACGCTTTTATATTTCGTGTTCAGCGTATTTAATACTTGGATTACCCTGCTTCAACCTCTCGTTTACGTATTGTTTTTTGTTCGAAAATCAATTAGAGGCTGAACAACGCTTTTTTTTATTTGAAAGGGATCATGTCTTGCGATAGGGACGGTCTCTAAATCAAATTGAAATTCATGAGAAGTAGTGATGGTATTAATAGACGACCCACGAGTTAGGAAAATTAATCAAAACACTAACCAAAAATGTAGATGAATTTGATGCCTTCTTTATTAATCCAGCAGCGTAAAAAATCCTTTTTAATTAAATGTATGACGTCAGATGGTTCAGATACTGAGTTCATAACAGCTCCCAAAGTTTGTAAGGCGCGAAAATACTTCCAAATTTACATACATTTTTATGACAAACAATAATAATAAAAATAATAATAATATAATAAATCACACCACATAAATTGACATTCTCCCTCTAAGAGTTATTACAACTGTGCAGAGGGAGAATACACATGAAAAAGACGTAGGACACACAACCAAACCCTGTGACAGGTGCCAATTGTCACAGGCGGGATTCGAACCCGCGCGATAATAGCTCTCGAAGTAATCAACATCTTGGCGCTTTACCCACTGAGCTATCGCCGCGGTTAAACATATTTACATACAAATACTTACAAATTTTTATGATGCTTTGTTATAATTATATTGTTTCGTAGGCCAAACTTCACTGGAATGTTTTGTCATTCTGAAGTGTCTTTTCAAAAAAAAAAGGTGTTTACCAAAAAGTAGAAATTTAAAGATGGGTTATACAAAAACTGTTACTTGAAATTCATATCAATTTTCGGCTCTTCAATTTTAATCTAGGGGTATGTAAATTAACTACTTCCATGTCCTTTTATTTCAAAATATCGACTTTACATTTTACCATTTTATAAGCAATAACTGCACCATAAACTAAATATAGTTTATAAACCTGTCATCTTTACACATCTTAGTACTATTTTTTCCATATTCCTCTACAGAAGTGGAGAAATAGGTGAACCTAAGTTAATACAAACATAGAAAAAAAAATAGAATATAATTTGAATAATAATTCTGCTCACAAAATTATTATTTTGTTATTTTATAAACTTCTATTCAATTTGGAAACCTACTCGGTACTTATTTTAACATATTCGATAAATATTTATTATAATAGTAGTTTACGTAACAAGTCCAGATAACACTGATTTTGTGGAAGAGTAGACGAGGACGAGCCGTAGGCGAGGAAAGCCGTAGGCCTGGAAGTGGAAAAATGTGGAAACTTTAAAAGGATATAATAAACGTTTTATTTTATGGAAATCTATATTTTTATTTCAGCATGTTTATCAAAAATGTTGAAATTTGCTTTAACCATTTGTTACTATATCCCTAGTTTTTGAAATAATATAAAATCACTCATCTTTTGCTTATTTTTGTAACAGAAGACTTTGGAAAATAAATAAATTGCTGTCGGGTGAAACACGAACTTAAAAATAAAATATCAAATAAATTCTGCTTTGCAACCATTTCTTTAATTTCCAAAGCCTTCTGGTATTAACAAAGGCGTTTTGAATAAAAAATGAAGGTATAAATAAAAAAAATAATTAAATTATCCTTCAGATGACCTTCTAGCTGACGAACAAGTGAAAAACTCAATTCTAAGAGGTCCAGCAACTTTTATTTTAAATATTTTCTTTTTTTGTTTAAAACATTCCAAGCGGACAGTTAGAGTAGGCTTAAAGGAAGCTTTATTTTACATCATGTTTCCTGTGTTTCAACATGACGTGGGTAAAATCAAGATATTTCTTCAGATCTTCAAAGCAATAATGAAATCCACAATGAAATGCTTTACGGGAATTTAGAACGGAACAGAACAAAGCATTGTCCACCATCATCTTATCCTCGTATTTATACGGTCAATAGCTTCGATCTCATCGTCCCTCGTTAACTCCGAAAAAGCTGAAATTGCGGTATTGCATGAAATAATAATGCATTTGTCCTTTTTTCTACCCTAAAGTGACTTTAGGTTGAAAGAGTAAAAGCGGTTAAATGATTAACGCCTTGCAATAATCTGTGTCTGGGCTTGAAAATATTTTATTATTATTAAATATCACCTAAATGTCAGTGGTCTGGAAAGTTTTTGAACTGAGTTCATGTTTGCTAAATATAATAAATTGTTATGTGTGCATAACTTTACATTCCGGAATTTCTTAAAATATAGCTAAGTTTGCAGAGTATTGGAAAAATCCAAAAATTACACATTTTTAGTTCAGTTCAATTCCTTGTAGGAATTATAAAGAACATATTCTCAGCAATACTATACTTCCACTCCACCACGTGGATATGGAAGTAGAAATGAAAAATGAATTCAAACATAAAACTTAAAAGTTTGAAATAAAAATGTTTCAAAAAGTGGTTTGCCAATATCGAGGATAAGATAGATTGAGTTCAAAGTCTAACTAGCTCCAGATTTGGATGTGATACATATGTACATACGTATTCCAAATTTCAAGTTGATGTCGAGTTGATCTGAGTTTAATGCGTACCTACACAAAAAAGGTTAATACAACCAATAATTTTGGGCCCACAACCAATAAAATTTGTGACAAAATTTTTCATCGATATTGTACTTTCACTCCGTTACGTAGATGAAATATCTATTTTGTGTAACAACTCCATTTTTTGCTGTGCTGTAATATAGAAGAACTTTAATATAATGCTCTCGGTTTTGCATTTCGCAGTTTGTGTTTTTCATTAAATAAAAAAAAAACATTTTATTTTACTATAAATCTATAAATCAGCTGAAATAGGTATAAAAGACCTTAAATGCATATCTCGACAAGTTTTCAGTAAAGAAATTTACAAAGCATTATCGTTCTTATTTTCTGTATCTAGGTATATTGATGTAACACATATTATGTATTTTTCACGTTTATCACTAAAAGCAACTATTATAGCCATCAAGAATTTATATTACTTATAATTATTTAAGTACTTATTATTACCCGTATGCAGTATTGGCAAATTTCGAAATATGTTTCTACGTACCTATTCCGTTGAAAATTAATTTGTCAATAATATTTGTTGACACGCTTGACAGTTGTTGTATGACCTAGTTCGTTGTAATCGGCAAACGTCACCGATTCCTCCCGTTACCTGTACGTATTTTCGTTTGGGAAAATCATTTCGTTCGTTAAAAGCAGTGCTCGTTATAGCAGAGTTCAACTGTACTTATAATTCTTGCATATAATTACTTGGAAAATAATTAGTTTCTTTCGCAATATTAAGATACCGATGTAAATGAAAATTATTAATTTTTTATTTTCTTGAAAATTCATTATATACTGTAAGAATGCATTTATTTTTACTTTAACTTTGTTAAATTGACGGTAAAATTTTGCATCTATAGTAAACTTTACAATTTATAACCAAACAATTTGTCTTAGTACCTACTTATAAATCTTAAAACTCGCAAATGTGTTAACTACATCATAAAAGTATAAGGGCGTTAGAACAAGTGTTAGTAATGATTAATGTTCACTTTATCGACAAGGTGTGCTATATATATTACGCTCTATAAGCTGCACATAGTACGTTAAAATAAAACGTTGTTATATTATAATCTTTTTTGCCAATTTAGAGTTTGATATAAAGCGTTTTATATATCTTAGGTACAGTAAATATGATTTTGATAATCTGATAAGAGATTACATTTTGGGACTTTGGGACTTTACGATTAGTATTCTGTCCTGCTGCAAAGTACCTACAGTATTACTCTTGTATTAAGGGAGTGGCATGACATTACCTTCTCTGTAGAAACAAACAAAAAGTACAAAAATATTAAAATATATGATAAGTTGTTGGTAATATTAGGGGGTGAATGAAACTAGGGTTTCAATGTTCATACATTCCTCGGATTTATTTAATTCACAGAAAGATTAAGTTCAAAATAAAAATGATTTACCTTGAGTTAGTATTAGTTATCTATTAGTTATCTTGAGATAACTAATACTAATTATTATCATGTAATGTTATGGAACTAACTGTTGAAAATATGTTGTGTTACTGCCATAATATTTATTCAGATGTACCCATATTTTTTATTCCCTCCTTAAAACTTACCCCTTAGCGGGCGTTCTCACCAGAAGCAACCGGCGACAGCAACGAAACAGCAACCCAACTACGGTTTCTGTTGCGTTGTTCTTGTGTACTTACTGAAAGCAACTTATTTTGGAATCAGTTGTGAGAGAAATGTCTTCCTCGTCGGATGAAGAAATTGCTGCTGCATACTTGCTACTGAAAAAAGCGTAGAAAGAAGACAAATAGAAGGTTTTGGGTTAATCCTTTTTATACGATAAATTTGGGATATAGTTCTTACATAGTAGCTCAAGAATTAAATCATGATCCTGTTAAATTTCACGGATTCTACCGTATGAGCAAGCGCACGTTTCAAACTCTGGTAGAAATAATAAAACCTGAAATAAGCAAGAGAGATACTAATTACCCAAAGCAGTAAGTGCAGAAGAAAGGCTTCTTATTACTTTAAGGTAAGTTTATTTATATTATATTTTTTTGATAAGCATATACATATGAAATGAAAATATTTTTTCTTGCAAAAAATTAAAGTAAACATAACGAAAAACTAATGTTCGTAATTATAAACGTAATTATCAGATTGACATTGAAAAGATCTCGAAGGCTCGGAAGGATCAGGCGCACTCGTTGTAAAACGTGATGATTGTGTTTCGGATGTCGATTGATAATTGTTTAGGGTATCTGAGTGGTAGGTGGAGGCACTTGATAGTCTAGATTGGCAGCTAGAACTACTGGATGGTCCAGGTGGACAAGTAAAATTATTAGTATAATCGCTCCTCGTACTATTGACACTTATCGGACGAAAATGCCCTTCAGAATTATCCTGTAATATTTTGTCAATGATTTCTAAAAATTCACGTTTACATCTCCTTTTTTGAGAAGCGTCTCATTAATTCTAGATCAGGAAGAAGACTGAGCAAAAACTTCTGATCTGCGCTTTCATTTTTATTGCTGAAATTCGCCCTTTTTGCATCAAAGTATTCAGCAAGTGATTTTTCTGCATCTATATCTTTATTTTTTCTTTTTAAGTGCGGTTACACGATTATCTCTTGTGTGATTTACTCGGGGAGTTGTTGGTGTCTCAGGTAGCTCATTTTGATTTAATTGAGATTGGGTGTTAACTTCTGACGACCCAGTTTCTTCTTCAGTTTCTGGTACAGTGCTCTCTGTGTCATCACACTCTACAGTTAAATTACTTGTCTGTTTTCGATTACTTTTAACGAAAGGAAGTAGAAATTGGAGAGCATCTTCCAAATAATATTTTTTCTTGATGCCTCCAGCTGACCCACTTGGTGGTATTTTCCTGAGGTGTCGTAAGAAAACAGTCCGTATATTTTTCCAGCGTTCTTTACAAGTTTGCGCTGAAAAAAATTAAGTTAAAAATATCTTGTTTTAGCATTGTTATATGTATTTTTTTATTTCAGGTATTTAGCAACAGGCGACAGTTATAGAGCTTTGACATATTACTTTATGCGAGGTCTCACAACAATCAGCAATATAATTGCAACCACTACTGAAGCTATTTGGAC